GCTCAGATGCTGATGTGAGTTACTGCTGCTCATTACCTTTTATTATCAGAAACACATACAGAAAGGAACCAAATCAGTTGTGCCACTTCTTACATTCCTTCTAGAGCTTTAGAAATGTTATTATTTATGATGGCAACAACAACCCAATCATCTGCAAGCTTTAGTACGTTACCATTTGCTACCCCAAAAAACATTTTACATACAACTTTAATCTCCATTACATATGAAAAATAAGGATGAGAAAGCTGCATTAAATCTCATTAATCCAGCCTTGAGTGCTAGAACACACATTTCTGATGCATCAATGGGGAGCAAACAAACTTCAACCTATTTTAGAACACTAAAAAATTCCCACCCTGCACTGGGTGCAGCACTGGATCCAGCTCAAGCATACAGAATAAAGCTTTTGTCCCCTTATAGTATTTTGTTTGCTTCTGCTGTTAACAGATTACAGCGTAAAAGTTCCCTATGACAGCAATTCTTAAGTGATGAAATGTATTTTATATTATAATGACTCCAGAATAAATGACTTCACTATGAAGCTTTGGGAAGGGGATGCGAACTAGGAGAACAGGACAGCACCCGGCCTCTGTATAAGCAACGAGTTTCACATCCAGGTAAAAAACTTCAGCCTGGGGCACTACCAGCAGAAAGATTTTTTTTTTTCTTTCACAGGTAAAAAACGATAGAGTACTGTTAAATCTTCCTCCCCCCTCTGGTTTTTCCTCTGGATATAAGTTTGGACATCAAATTTAACTGACATGCAACACTGAGATCCAGCAAAATAAAAGGTAAAATTTCACTGATGAGATTCTTGAGTTTTATGACACCATGAGCAATTGAAGAGAAACTACAAAAGATCTGTTTCACAATATACCTTATCATCCACAGATGACATAACAGCATTCATTCTGAAGCACATTACTCATTTTAAGAAATGAAGCAGAGTTTAATCTTAAAAGTATAAATTACTGCAGCCAATTGCAAAACCTACAGACTTCTGTTGCCTACTCTTTTCAAACATCTGAAGCAGCATTTCTGAATAAGAACTCATCAAAGCCAAACTCTGAATCTAGACAATAGTTCATATTCTCCAAGAAAGTGGAGTTTTCTGTCTGGAAGACTGAATTGGATGAGAAATGCTTTGAAGCCCTGCATAAAAGCTGAGCTCCTGCAGACTGACTCTTTGCTAAGCTTCTTAACTCCTCGGTTTATCCACCCGCCTCCTCCAGAGCATTTTACAGAAGTGAAGCTATACAGGGTATCTTCAGCCAGGGTGTCAATCAACACCATATCTCATCAATTTCAGAGAAGTTATACCCATCTGCATCAGCTAGGAAGTTTACACATCACATCTATCTGCTCAGTGGGCTTAATACTGACATGTCCCAACATCTCCAAGTACTACCAAGAAAATACAGAAGCAGCTCCACCACACCATTAAGACTGTTGTGTGGACCTGTTGATTTGAATTAATCTAAAGAAATAAAACAGCAAGATCAAAAACCGAAGGGAGAAGGAACTGACTCTACTGTAGACAGAGAACCACTGTAAACAAAACAAATCAAAAAGGTTTCAAACAAAAGATGATTGAAGAAGAGCAAAAAGAATTAAGTGATCCAGGTCAGGCCACAGAGAAAAAAAAACCAAAAAACCAAAACCAATTACCTCAACACTATAATTGCTTATGGAAAACAGGAATGATTCCAAGCAAAGATCTTATCACAGGAGGTTACATTTAATGTTCATCCTCCTTAAAGCTAGCATGCTAAATCCACAGAAACAGGGCTTGTAATAATTCTAGTTCTTTATAAACACGATACAAGCTCTACCTACTTAGCGGTAGACCAGAGGAACAATGAGAAGTTTGTCCAAGTTCTCACAGAGGTTCACAGAAGAACCACCTGCAGGAGACCACCACTGTGCTTATACCTTTAAACGTTTCTGCCAAGATGAAATCTTACTTCCACCATGAAATACTTAAACCAGCCATTTTCACTAGAAAAGAAACAAGCTGATGAGCACAACAAGGTGAAAAGTAAAATAGCATCATTCAAGTGATGCTCCGGCCTGAAAGACTAAGTAGTCATTGTACTATTTCGTCACCTAGGACTGCTTCGTCAGAAGTCTCTCACAAGACTTTTAGCCTTATTATGACCTATCCTAATGCTGGGATATTTCAGATAAAAAAAAAAAATCTTGTACGAAAATCAGGATATAATAAGGAAAATTTACACGAGCAGGAATAAATGAGCACAGATTTAAAAATCTTGGGAAGAGAATGGCAATTAGTTAAAACTCAGAAAAATGGCCTGGCAAAATTTTACTGTTTTTGGTTCACAGCAGTTCTCTCTGTGTGCGCTTATTCAGATATGCTGACTCTGCACACAAAAATAAAATTTTACTGCTTTTCATTTCTATGCATACTATAGTGCCTAAAGAGCTATGACAATCTAAACTGGATTAATTTTTGCCTAATGCACCATGGACAAAATTACTAAGTGAACCCTACCTGTCATCCATTTCAGAAATCACACATTGTTACATTAATGTTTTTTGACTACCTGTTTAATAATTCTCAAGTACTTCAGTGTTATCACTGACTCAGTGCCAAACAGAAGAGGCACAAGCAGATTTCAAAATCCCTTTAAAATGCCCTTGCAAGACATACAGCTAAAAGAGGAAAACACTGTTCAACTTACAAGTTCAAAGGTTGGAATTTTACCACCAGAAAAGAAGAATGCCGTTCTTTCTGAGTCCCTTTTAAAATTAGGACAAAATTATGTGTATGTATTTATACACAAATACTTACTGATAGAGTGCACTGCAAAACAAAACTCAGGGAAGTCAGGTTATAGAAAGTTTGTTGTACTTTTAAAACAGAATTATTAGATTCTTATTAAAATCTCACATCTGGTTGCAAAACTGAGGAAGAAACAAATATTGTGAAACCAACTTCTACAAAGTTAGGGTAAGAAATATGACATCGGCTTATTAGGTATTATTTGTAAAGGGATAGGTGATAGTAAGAAAATCTTTAGAAATATGACAGTTAATCAAGTCTAACTGAATTATTAATTAAAACAATTTTAGCATAGAATTGCTGCACTAGAAACACAAGTCCATTCCCTCCTTGAACCTACTGCTCCCATAATAAGTTTTATACATGGCAAATAATTTCTCAGAAACTTTTGATAGAGCCCAGGAAATTCATGAACCGTTCACCATGGACGGTGGATCATGGAACATATGGATCAAAGTAACTCATTGTCAACGTAACTCTTTGTCACATATGTCACTCACTGTAACCTCTGTACAGAGAGAGATTGAACAGATAAACATTGAACAGATAAACACTGAGTGACTTAAATTTTAAACAATCAATTTACCATTATTGCCTATTAAATTTAAATAATACCTTGAAAGGGAAAAGCAGGTCATGCACTCCTCTGATTTGTTTCTACATTCACATGATGGACTTGACTCAGTTGCCCATACCTAGATATCCTTGCCCATCTGAGAGGTCCTTGGGAGGCCAAGATATCATCAAAGGAATGGCAGACAAGGCACAGGGCCTATGGAAGGCCTGTATCCATCCTGAGTGGAAATCAGGGTAACCAAGGCCATCTCAAATAGCACTAGATGCCTACGTGGGGCAATCTAAATGGAGCTTCTACATCAGATTCAGCTCCAGACTGGGATGCCCTACACCTTACAGACACACCTTCAGGTGACCAGATGGGAGCTCAGATCCAAGCACCCATTACTGTCAGTGGACCCAGGAGAGCTACTGACTTCATTCTAAGGCCAACACCTACACCTCAGCACCTGAGCAGCTCGAGTCCTCTGATTTTACAGACAAAACCCCTGCTGACTGCCAAGCACGGACACCCAGCTCACACTACAGACACCTCTACTCAGGTGTCCAAATCACGAGACAAATTCCACCCTAAAGCCAGATGGGATGATTACCATCACAGGAACCTCAGTTTGGCCCACCCTGCTTTAGGCAAATGAGCGCAACTAAACATTGCTAGGACAATAATCATTGTAGGACCTTTTATACTCAGTGCAAAGAGACAGATGCCTTCAGAGACTGATTCAGTTAAACACCTGATTTTGGATAAGACTAATCCACAGCTACCCATATCCTCCCAAAGTATATAGGAACATGCCCAATCTCTCTTAATGACAGCTGTAACTAGCTTACACAACCATATGCTCATATTGTCATCAGCTTTATTTCCTTCTCCTGTCGTCTTCCTCCAATGTTCATTTGCTTCTTCTTTACTAATGAGTTACAAACCTTAAAATAACATCCTATCTTAATCACTTTCATCATCAACTGCACTTATTACAGTTAACGGGACCCCATATAGTAAAATAGTAAATACAATGATGGCTGACATTTATTTAGAACAAAATTCAGCACACCCAGATACAACTCTACAAGTTCACTGGCACCCAACAGCCATCAGATTGATCCCACTACTCGAGACTACTGAGAGCCCAACAAAGCAGTGTCAGCAGCCAAGTTACAGCTCTTTTGGTCTGTCCTATGCTTAGCAAAGTCCTGATACTACATTAGAAGTGGACAAATACACCTTTAAAAATTTATAGCACCATGATAATTTTGGCTTTACAAAAAACCAAAAGCACTGTTTTTCAAATCTCAGTAGATATACCAACCGTAAATTTGGCATCAAAGTTTTCTTGCCAAGAGGTCCACTTTAAGCAATGGCTGAAAACTGACAAGTTTAAAAGACAAGTTATGCAAGGAAAGAAAAGGAGGAGAACACTTTAAAAAATGCATGATCAGAAATAAAAAATTCAAACAATTGTCAGCATTAACATGGTGGAGGAAGATTTGCGTACACAGGAAAAACTGCAGGTCTGCCCTTTGTAAAAACTTGCTAAATTGTGAAAATCACAAAACACGAGTGAAATGCCAGACCAAAAATGCCAAGTTACTAGTAAAGAAATTTAAAGAATAAGATTACCTTGTTCCAACCTAAAGCATAGGGAACGTTTTGCAGCCTCTATCTCGGGACTTGGATGATCCAGAACACGCCTGCACCACTGCAGAGGACTCAGCGATTTCTCTTGAGGAGTGAGAGTCTTGGTAGGCAAGACGTATAACCTTAACCAAAATACACACAAATATCAGCAAGATATGCAGTATTTAAAAGTTTATTTTGGTATTCTCACTTTCCTGCCCACTAATAATTTATATCAGTGCAAAGACCTGCAATATGATCTCTAATCTATCCAAACAAGAGATATTCTGAAGTACAAGAGTTTGTACTCGTTTTCTCCTTCCCTCCTCAGAAAAGTAGGTGGCAAAATATGAGCTCTGCAAGTCTGGCACGTCAAAACAAAGTTCAAGTAGATAATTCATAAAAATCTTCTCAGTCTGAATTTCAGCACTGCCCAAAGTTCATATACATTAGCTGCTGTACACACCCCTAAGGTGCTATTAGTTTTCCCTTTTATATTCTTCTTTACTGGAAATTAGATAATTTCAGTATTTCATTTTACATTTAAATCATAATCTCACTGTTATCTATTCTACTCTTCTACCTATAACAATTTAATCAAGTTGTCAGTGTGATGATTATAACTTAATTTTCATACACAGTATCTTCTCCCAGATGAACCAAATGTTGTACAAGTCAGATTTTTAAAGATCAGAAAACATCTGCTGAGAAACAATGAAAATCCAATTTAGATATTCAATGCCAGCAGAAAAAAAAAAAAAAAAAGGCAAGAAAAGCTAGTGTATATGCATTACTCTCAGACAAGAGTAGGCAACTAATGAGATGGTCACGCACATGAGGAAGCCAGGTATCCAAGCAGATGTCACGGGGAAATTCTTGAAGCTGGGATCTGCATTGCTGCTGTTGCCCTTGCAGATCAGCACACACAAGCAGACACATGGCTTCACCTGGGAGAGTGCAGATCTCCCGGGAAGGAAACTATTCTTGGCCACCAGAGACGGCTCGCAGCTCCTTGGCCTGACTGCTTCTGATCGATGAGGCTGCAGACAGTCAGAGGCAGGTTCTCAGGCACCAGCTAAACACTCCATGGGCTGCAAAGGAATCTGGCCTGCACAGAGCAGGTGCAAAAGGCAAGACCAAAAAAAAAAAAAAAAAACCAAAAAAAAAAACCACCAAAAAAACAAATGGACCGGGCTCCTCAGGGGACAACTAACAGGTAACAGCCTTTCACCTTCAAGGTTTTGGCTCAACAGCTACCCAAGTCCCCTGAGAGCAACTCTTCCGCAGAGTCTGCTCAATGGCGGTTTTTTTGTTTGTGCTTTTTTTTTTATTGAAGTCAATCAGCATTCTCTAACCAGCTCACAATGAATAAATATCCTCACTGCGATTGCTCTCTCTCATTTGGCAATCCCACCAGAGATGAACTATTGGATTTCTCTGAGGAGACGACTCATTTCCCCTGACGACTTGTGGTGCCTGGCTACACGCTTAGAAAAGGATACTGAGAAAAATTAAAAGAAAAAAAAAAAAAAAGAAAAAATGAAAAGCTTTCAGCTCTCCTGTTAACCCGCAGAAGTGCTTCAAAAGTTCAACATCTGACTGATGAATTCTCAATGATCAGACGTTTGTGTAAAAAGCTGAACAGCAAAACAAAAAGTTTGACTTGTCTGCAATGATGCTAATTCTCCAGGGTTTTTGTAACTACAGTTAAAAAAAAAAAAAAAAAAGTAAAGGTATTTAAGGCCTAAAATTACTAATCAACAACTGGGATATGCACTGGTCTTTCGCCTTCCAAATAGCAATTTGCTTTAAAGACTGACATTACAAAAAAGCCCCAAGCAGCTGGCATCACACAGCTGACCTTTCATGGACAATGCCAGAGACTTAGCTTTGAACTAAAAACCTTCAACAGCTAAAACAACTCACTCATAGTGGAATGAATTTGTCAACAAATCCCTGTCATTAAATTCTTCCTGTGGACACATTTGTGTGTGACACGAAGGTAAGTTTTGGCACCAAAAAAAGCATTTAGGATTGCTTCCAGGGGGCAAATCAAATAGGAAATTTTACTAGGGCACACAAAATAATGATGACTTTGTACCACTCTGAAATGTAAACAGGGAAAACTTTTTGCTTAACAGGATGGGAACAAACAAATCCGATATTCCTTAATGTGAAGGAAAGTTAGAGGTTATGACTGATGCAAAATTTGATTCAAGTCCAGACTGACAAGCCCAGAAGAGCCCTGCGCAGACCAGCGGTACACACAATTTGTTTGTACACATACAATTGTATGTACGCATACAATTTGTTTATGATTCTCAAAAGCAATTTTCTGAAACTGCAGGATGGTATTGTTTGTACCATGAAGTACACACAACCAGCATTCAAGAAACATTTAGGATATTTAGATCAATTTTCAAATCCTTTCTCTTCTATCAAAAATAAGGATGTTGAAATGCATCTTTGCTGCCTTATACTGTATTTTATTCTCAGCTGACGTAAACTTCAGCTCAATTTAAAAACCAACTGCACAAAAAACTACCTTGAAGCTTTGACAGGTACTTAAATCAGCTATTTAAGTACAGCTAATCTATATTTTATTACTGACATTTTAAAACAATTGAGCATCAATTACACTTAACATGATTACACAGACAATGATCTCCGTAGTATTCCAGCAGCGTCCCTACGGTGTTCGTCCACATTGCTGAGCCAAGTTTAGAGGCACCGGGCTTACTTATTTATTTAGATCTCTAGTCTATAATTCCCCCTTCTACTTGTGTTTAAGTGAGTGCAACCATTCCTCTCGGTCGATTTTATTTTCTCCTTTATTCATTAGCTATTCAGTTTTGCTTTATTCAATTTCCTAGCACCCAGCCGTGCCTTTCGAAGCTACAGGGGCGCTTGAGATACACAACCAACCATTTAGATCAATGTCTAAAAGACAAAAGCCCTCCCAAATTCCTGAAGATGGGAGACAATTGGGCAGAGATTTTAGGATGGGGAGGCAGCGCTGCTCAGATAAAACCCTTCCCGGAACAATTCCGCTATTTTTAATTCCTTATGTAAACAGGAGGCTGAAACTAGGCTGAGATCTGAAATTAAAGAGAGACGATCTTCCTCCAAGAGGAAAACGAGCACAAATTCCCCGCCGGGGGCTCGACCCCCTGGGTGAGATGGGGGGTAAAGCCCCACCTGAACCCCACCCCGGGCACGGGCCCGTCCGTCGGCGGCGTTAAACCGCACGTTTTAGAGAAAAAAAGGGAAAAAAAAAAGGCAGATTTAAGTTTAAGCAGAACGAGATCAAGTGGATTGGGGGCTAATGCTAATCAGAG